TGTATCATTTAATCTTTCTTTCTTCTCATCTCTCTTTGCCTCTAACAACCCCATCTATGCCCCTCTTCCTACACCTCTCGTATTCTCTCTCCCACATGTTCCTCTATGAATCATCCTTCCTCACCTCTACTCCCACTCATCATGGTCTGCTCTGTCATTCTCCTCCTGTCAGTGGCTGGCTGAGGTGTATCGTAGGCAGGGTCTTCTGGTGCAGGCAGTTATGGCTTACAGGCAGAGTCTGCAGCTTGCCTTACAGCTCGGCCTGCACAGCGGTCAGGTGGCCAGCCTCCTCCGATTGGCCCTGCTAGCTCTAGGACCCTGTATGGTGAGTCTCTGCACCAGATATTACACAAATCTAGATCTATAATATTCCTTGTCTTACTGTGATAAGGTACAGCTGTTACTGGACTGTAATGATTTTTTTCTTTCAACATGGCTCCAAAAATGATCCTTTCAGATAGTACAAATCTAATAGTATAGCAAATTGTAATTTAAAATAGTAGAGGTGTTCTGATACCACTTTTTCCCCCTTGTCGATGCGTGGCACATCGGCTGACACCAAACGCCATCCATAATCAGTGAATTTGAATAACAAACATAATGCTTTTAACAGCTTTATGGCACTTACCCTGTATGGAAGTGATGATTGCCAATGCTACACTGCAGTACAACACAACTCCTGTTTCCGAGTGGCAAAGAAGTGATATCCATGAAAAGAAGATTGCCGTTTTATTTGTACTTTAAAGATGGGGTATTGGATCAGTACATAGATTTACGAACTCCCTGATGCTTGACCCAGGATTTGTGGCAGCATATATGATGCTGGTTTCTGCATCGGAACATCTCTAAAACAATGATCCCAGCTGTTATGTTTCAGCTAGTAGGGTTTTGGAATAATGACTGACCGACTTACATATTCCTACACACATACAGGAGGCCGGAGGCAGCTCCTGGCTATATTCCTGTTATGTATGCAGAAACAAAGTAGAGGGGTATTGAGCAGAATTACAGTGTCAGCAGCCATGACCAAATGGAAATAAAAGTATGACAAGAAGCTTCCTTTGTGATTTAACTACAGCAAATGTGGTTTATAATCCATTGCTCACATGGCAGAAAATCCCATCCCAATCCCTTGGTTGTGTAAACACAAATCTTTTCTCTTTGACATTTAGCTAATCAGCCACTCCTCTGAAAGCAGTTACACAGGTGTAAATGCACATTGTTGCAAACAATACAGTTAAAAAAATGTTTTAAAATCATTAAAGTAGCTGAATCACACGTAATTTAAAATGTTCAGGCTTGTTTTAGCTAGTTATTCTTTAACCGTGTGTGATCTGACCTCTCAGGCAGGGACCCCAGGAAACGAGTGGAAGGATCTGGTAGTAGAAGCCACTACTGAGGTTTTGAAGCTAGGCTCATCCCCTGTGGCTAACCTCTTCCAGGCCCTGCTCCAGTATGTGACCAAGATGGCAGCTAGGTCAGTGCCTCTCACAGTGTTCTTTCTCTGCTGCTGCTGGTTGCATGTAAATACTTTTTTGCACTGTTTGTAATATGTAATCTAAAGTGATCAAATAAGGTTTCAGAAACTTCAACTGCATGGCTACATCTCTTAGCTGCAGGGGGGTGATGGCGCTTCTAACACGCCACCGACGCAAAAACAAAACAAATATCTCCCGGTGAAACACACGTTAAGCACACTGACAAAGATGTCAAGAGAGTCTGTGGTGATAAGAGCTGTAAACATGATCACATGATCTCAGCAGCAGAGTTAATACATCACTTCTCCACCTCTCGCCTGAATATTGTGGAGGATTGGTTGCTGTTGTGAACCCGCCTGTGCAGAGAACCTCCCACTGTGTTGTGCATGTGCAAAAGAAAGGTTATGTCTGAAAACAGTTTTGGAGTGCTTCAGTTTTCAGAGGCGAAAGAGAACACGTGCTTGTCATGAATGGGTTAAATTCTAACAACTCAGTGCCAAAAATAAGTTTAATTTTATTGTATATAGTAGAAAATACTGATGACAAATACTTGTTATACCTTTTGCCCATTTCTGAGCGTGTCTTCTGCAGGGACACGAGACGTTTGTTGGAGAGGCTGGTGTACGTTTCCTCTCCAGACTTTCCAGTGACAGTGGTGCAGGTGGCCAGCTGGTACTTTCTCAGACACTTGTATGCCAAAAATGACCAGGAGCTGATAAATGTGAGCACACAACTGCGTCATACACACACTCACACCGGATTACAGAAATGCATACCTATGCCATATCACGACTCAAGTGGAAACCCTAACAGCACATGCAAATAGCAAAAGTGAAACTGGTCACTGGTGTACATCTCAAAAGTGAAAGCATTTTCTATTTTTGCAGGTGCTCTTGCAACATGCCAAAATGAAGGGAAATCAGAGACTGTTGGAATTCAGTGTACTCCTTGAAGACGCCTCGTCTTGAGTTTTGCAGATCAACACATGCATCTCACTGAAGTCCTGTCGCGTTACAGGGCTTTATTCTCTTGAGCTAAATCATATCAAACTGGACACCATGGGTCTTATATCACAAATAAGACATTAACTAGCTTCGCATGATTCTTTTGTTGTGCATTATACAGTTTGAGGAAATCAAATCAATACAGTCGTGAAAGTTCTGACATGTCACATATTTTTCAAAATGTTACCAACGTCCACCTTCAGGCTGAAATAAAGGTATGATGCCACACAAAGATTGTCGTATCTTGATTGCACATGATCCCAACACATGCCGATGTGTTCACTTTATGGTGAAGGACATTATCAACAATAACTTCTATGCAGTACCATTAAAAGATGTTGAGGCACGTTCAGTAGAAACTATTGCAATTTTTTTGCACCCAATGCAATTATTAACATATGTTAAACTAAGTTGTTGACTGTATCTAAAAAATATCTGAACAGCTAAGTTTTTTAAACCTTTCACATATAATTCTCTTTAAACGAGCTTAGTCCTCTCAAAGTGGACCATTAAACAGACTCTGTTCTTTTTGTGTTTACATTGTCCGTACATTTGAAGGAGGACTCAGTTCTCTCTCTTGTCCACTTTTGCTCTGAAGCGACCTTACTTCCTAGTAGTTTTCACTTGGAACAAGATGGCTGCGGCCACAATGGTCTTATCCACATCCATGTGGTGTTTGGTTAAATTAGTCTGCAGGAATAGGAAATCCTGTTTAGACCTAAGGATTATAACATTCCTACTAGAGGTGTGAATCTTTAGTAGCCTAATGATTCCATTACAATTCACTTGTTCATGATTCACTTCCAAGTGTATCACATCCTCAATTTTCTTTGCTATTGCACATGGCTGCCTTTTCATCAATTACTACAAATAACAATCATTCAGGTATGCATCTGAACTGTCTTTTATTGAGAAAGTGCCCCCCCGCTCGTCAACTGTGATTTAGTTATGTTCCCCATCAAACCTGTTGATAAATATGCATGGATTCCATTATGTAACGTGTCTTCTAAGCAGCTTGTTTCAGAGCACTGTCAACATCTGCCAAATCTGCTGCAGGGCTCAGATTCTTAAATTTAGAAAACGTGACAGTCAATGCTGAGTAACCTTAGTCCTCTATCGTTTTCCATTTTTTTAATGACGTCACAGTGTTGTACGTGGCCGGTTAGCTCAGTTGGTTAGAGCGTGGTGCTAATAACGCCAAGGTCGCGGGTTCGATCCCCGTACGGGCCATGCCTTAATTTATTCTTAACTTCCATCACTCATACAGAAATACATGCAAATGATATCCTCTAAAAATCAACATAGAACACATTATGTACCACGTACTGTGTTGATGAATTAAAAACATCTACATCAACAACAGTGTAAGCTTTTATTGTTCAGCCAGCAGAGGGCGGGTTCCCTGTGTTGCGATCATAGACTGTATATAAAGAGGTTGCGATAGACTTTTAGAGGATCAATTGTAATTTAGTTTGAGATACACAATATTCACTGACAGCATACAGTGCTCTCTGCTTTATTATGTGTGCAGAGCATACAGAGAGAAACAATGTCCCAGAATTTTGAATGACAAAATAGTATTGTGTAAAATATCTATGTAAAATGTCTACGTGATGCATCTTAAATATATATATACTGAGTGTTTATATATATATATATATATATTAGATCTGTTACAAAATGTAGTGCTGAATAGATGTCAACTATTTCCAAGAATCAGAATCATTCTTTATTATTACATTTCAAAAATGTGCTTTACATAGAGTTTTTCATATTAAGGCACAAATTCATAATGTGTGGTGATCGGAGAGTATAACAGAGTAGAAATCAGAAATTAACATTTWAGTAAAAGTAGTCYTTTAACTSTTAATGCAGAGATACACAGACACTGAAAAATCTATATGAATATATATAATGAAAACAATCCATAGTATTTGGTGACGATACAAGAAAATCTTRRTGAGACAACTGGTGTGTAAACTGATGCTGTGAGAGCACTCAAGGTGTTTAAAGAGTGTAGACTTTATGAAGTTGTGTGTTGATGTAATTGTGTTTCCTGTCAGTACAACTCTGCTGTGGTTCTCGTGCCAAAACTCATCACATGCACTCTGGGTTTGTCCGTGTGGCTGTAGGTTGTCTTCGCTRGATTGTTCTGCTCTGTTTTCCAAGCCGTCTTCCTCCCTCGACCGCCGTCAGGGTTTAAAGGTACAGTGTGTAGAATTTTGTGATATTTAGTGTTGAAGTTGCATGTTGCAGCTGAKAACCCCTCACCTCACCCTCCTCTTCCAAACATGAAAAAAACCTGTGGTAGCTTCAGTTGTCATAAAAACTCAAAAAGTGTTTTGTTTGTCCAGTCTGGACTAATGTAAAAAACATGGAGAGGACCCCCTCGATGTAAATATTGAAGTATTAATATATAAAGGGTCTTTTCTGGGGTAAAGAAAACTACAATTCATGCAATTTAGATGAAACAAACTAGTGAAAACATCATTAGGATTATTCTACATTCAATTTCTGTCAATAGTTTATTTTCACCTAAATCTTACACACTGGACCTTTAAGATGGACAGAAATGCTTGGACATGAGAATGCAGATTTTTTCCCCACACTTCCAGCACTGCTGCTTGATGTGTGGAGATCCCTGCTGGGTCATCCTCTTACACAGTGGGCACCCGTCCGGAGCACTGCCGCCACCTCCGCTAGTGGATCTCGCCACGAGCTGTTGAAGCTCCCTCTCGATGGCGGCGCTCGGGGCCTTTGCGATGCACACCACCTTCACTCTATTGGGGTCATACACGCAAWCRTCCTCTAGTCCGCTGGGCACAGACTGCATGCCACAATTAGGGGGTACCCAGGCGGTGTTGTAGCCARTTGTGCTCCAGGTATACRGCAGAGGGTGGTCGTCCTTATCAATGCGCTTGAKACGGRCAACGCGCACACGAACCTCAAGGACCACACGSTCTGATTTSTTGCTATACTTAGGATAACTGGATGCCTTTAACATACTACGGCTGACATACACGRCCTCTCCCAGCATGCCAGTAAGCGACCGTCTGAAACCATTGGCAATGATGAGCCTTGCAKTGGCAACGCTGGTCCCGTGGTACATAGTGTAAACGCCCTGGTCCTGAGGGCTCTGACCTGCATTCAGCAGCACACCAGGAAAGGAAGCACCGTCATCGACCACCTCCCAGCCAGAGAACTGCACGGGCATCYTGATTGAGGATTAAACAGAGATCTTCAAGTGTAGAGATCTGCAACTCTGTGAGAAATGAGAACACAGATATGACACCACGTTATAGCAGAATTGAGAGGGGATGTAACATCTCTTAACGGACGCAAGTACAATGAGACATTAGATACGTTTTTCTGTCTGTCACCCCTTTGGAAGAAGAATGACTCACCTCCTGAAATCCAACTACAAATTGACCTAAACTGGCACATCTGGCACATCTGGCACTGCGATAGATAGATTACTTTATTCAGCCCCAAGGGGAAATGAGGTAAAAAAAAAACACTGGACAGCGCCCGTGGTTTCGATCCCGTGAGGGACTGGTGATCAGTGATTCTCAAGGAGAAAGTTGATGAAGTAACCACTGAGCTAAACCAGTGCYAATGCAARYTAAGTGCAATGTAACCTCTGTTCTCAGGTTTACTCTGTTCTCGTCTGTTTCTTCTCATGTTTGAATCTTGACACCAGCCACTTTCAGAACACTCTTATATCAGCGAGCTCAACAAAATAAATGTATCTCTTTTAATAAACACTGTAACATTTACTGTGTTGTATGAAAAACATCCACTTCACCATTCAGTCACTTCAACACTTTCACTTTCAGGCCTGCTGCAACAAACTGTAACTCTACCCTCAGACAACTGGTCAAAACAATTCACTTGTTTATATATTTTATTAGTAAACCCAGCAACTTTTAGAAATCACCACTTTTCATTCCAACTACTTATACAAAACAAATCCGGCTTGTTAAACTCGTGTGAACATTAGAACAGATCAACCTTACCTTCGCTGAGGACTCGTTCTGTCTGCCACCTTC